AAGAAATTGAAAAAAAGACTATTTCTCTTGAAATTGTACTTTTCTTTTGTATTATAAATTATTATATACTAATTGTAACTTCAATAATGCAAACTATTTTTTTAATTAATTAATTGTTTCAATTTTAATTAAATGCAAACATAATATAAAATGATTCATATGACAAATTATAATTTATAAATAAACATTTTATTGAGTCAACACTTGAGATTTGATCTTTAGTGTTTATTTTACAAATCTATTAACTAATCTTTAGATATTAGTTAATTAAATTTGAAAATGACATTAATTAATAATTAGAGATTATTTCATAAAAATATATTAAAACCGGTGGAAAATATTTACTGCATTGACACGATTTATTGTAAAATAAATATAGCAAAACCTCGCATAGTACGGGTAATCAATTCCTCCAATATCCCGGACTGTTTGAAACCAGACTAAGCGAAGAACTAAATAAAATAGAAATATACCCTAGAAAAAAAGCAGATAGAGAAAAAAAAGACTGATCGAAGCAGTACTATGCGAAATATTGTTGTATTCGTATTTACTACTACAGATCTAAACCCGAGAGAATACGGCAATTTGCATGTATAATTTTGTTGCGCAATACCAAATGGTGCGAGTAATAACGTTGAACCCACGCGAAATTTACATAGATATGTTTGAAGCAGTAAGATTCGATGTTATTTCTATCAACAAAATATCGAATCACTTAGCACATTGTCTTGTAAAAGAAGTTTGCATTCAAGATTTGCATTTACAAGACACTAATTGAAAATAATTTATTAACGTTATCGGTGCAATAAATTGTAGAAGCAATGTAGTGCAATTTTATTCACATCTCTAAATTCATCTCAACAAAAATTAGTTTACTACTATGTACAAAGTTCAATGGATTCAATCTTATTAGATATTGTTTTGTATATGATGAGATGCGACGACAGAAGAAATAGTCCTGTGTGCATCAAATGGAACCAATTATGTTTTGAAATTCCATTAGCAAAATACTCGACTTCGTTCAAGAAATGTGAATAACGCTGCGGAGATCGCATCTTGTAAAGGTCATAGGTTACACAATGCGTCTTTCAAGATGCAATACTTCAGACTGCCAAAAGAAACTATTTCCAAATAAGAAAAGGAAAACCCTTTGAAGGTGAATAAAAAGTAATTATTTTTAATTAATATTTAACTTGCGCAATATAACACCTGTCATGACACTTTTTAGCAAAGAAACTCTAATATAACAGAATTAATTAATTGACGAATTTGCAATTATTTCGTTATTTTTTAATTAAAAATTGAAACTTTTTTTTCAAAAAATAATGTCCTGAATGAGATCAAATAGATCATATTAAATTCGTGTGTATGAATTAGTAAAGTCAGATAAATAAATGCGACATACAAGGATGATTCATACGGTTTTCTGCTGCATTTAATATAGAATTCAAGGTTATTTATAAATATACTGAACTATCCCCCCAATGAGCCAATAAATAATCAGTAAAAATATTAATTTTACACTTAATCAATAGAATGTTGCGGATTAGCGAAAACAACAAACTAATCAAGAATTGTTGACATCCAATTAGAACCATACAATAACAAGAAAAAGAAAAATAAAGCACGACAAAGAAGTAATTCGTATCAATTAATGTGATAAATACTATACAATTATTAACTCAGTTAAAGTATTTTCTTTGTATTCATGTTGTGCTCATATAAGTTTTGCTTATTACAATATATGTATCCATTTCACACAATATAAATTACCTAATATCGATAAAATTCTATATTATGTAAATAACGTTTCAAGCAAGGTAGGAGTATATCATTCGATTTCGTTGCGGATAAAATAACAATTCCATATCGCCGTAAATACGAAAATATAAAAGATAATTTGAATATGGTTTTGGAAAAGCAATCTACAAAGCGAAACAGATGTGGGTTGTGTTTTGACGGCTCCATCATCATCGTCAACGAACTACGTGTTTACCATATAGAGCGATATTTGCTTAATTATGATATAATATTATTATTATCCAGTTTACCATCACCTGCTTGTTGTTGTTGCTTTGAAGTTCGAAATAAGTATACATTACGCACATGCATTTTCCTCGGCGCAATTCAAGTTTTAGTGTTTGCTGCGAAAGAATTTCTCGGGTTAAAAGCAGTTAAAAGTTCACAACTACTTCCGCAATTTATAGTGACATCAAGTCCCGCGAGGCATTACGTAATATCTTAATATATGCAAATTAAGGAAACTAAAACAGCTTAAAGTGTATAATAATGAAAAAGAAAAATAATATAAGTGAAGAACAATGATGAAACTCTTAGGAAATGTTGAAACGAAGCCAAAATATACATTAAATGATGTTAAGACAAATATAACTTGTTTTAATTATAAATTGAAAAACGCTTTATTGTGAGTTTAATTTTAAATAGACCAAAGTTTCCACAATTATACGTTTCCACTTCCACCAATTATTATATCCTTGATGTAATCAATGCATTAACTGAACTGATAAGAAATATTATATAAAAATCATTACTTCATAATTAAAAATCAATTTTAATATATACTTGATAACATAATACAACATTTGATATATAACCAATGTAGGCTAATCGACTAAAGATAAATAAATCTACGAATTTCGACCAATTATAATAAGAAGTTGTCACATTGTAAATATAAACTCAATTTAACACTGCTCAACTAAAACTATATAACAGCAAGAAAATGTATAATACATTTGTAAATTTTCATAAAAAAAATCTGTTAATAATATTCATATAATATAAACTTGAATTCCAATACTTTTTTAGTTTTTGAAATTACTTGAGAATATACATTCGAAATTGAGAGTATCAACGTTTTTTTTTTATAAAATATTTACAATTTTCTATTTGGAAAGTTACTATTATTTTTGTGCTCTTGTTGTAATTCATAAGGGTAATAATTTCATATTATATATTTTATACAATTGTTGAAAATGAATTCCACTTACATTTTGAACTCCATTCATTTTCAATTTTAAATAATTATTTCATAGTTTAGATATAATTGAAAATAAGGGTAGCAATATCATATTACATAAATTTGTTGAAAATGAACAGCGTGAATTCAGGTACATGCTAATAATGCAAAATCATTTCCAATAAATCTGATTTACTGCGACTCAAGTTTCGCGATGAGAAGGATCTCGTGTTACGCAGGCAAGCAGCATGCTGCAGTCGCGCTAATACCCATTTAATAGGACCCCGTTCGTTCCGTGTCGCAGGTAATAAAAACTGCAACTTGCAGTAAACGTGTGTTTATAGTCAAACACATTTTCTGGATTTAAATATAAACACAATTCTCTGTTTCTCGACGTGATCCCCGTTCCTCTGGACCTATTGTCGCATCGTGCTATGAAAAACAACATGTGCAGATGTGCGGACAGCATAACCAATTAGGTCTAGTGTGATATCATCGGAAACTGAAAACAAAGTTATTCTGCAAGAGGAGTGCAACAAACGTTGATGGGTGCTGTACGTGATTTCATTTGCATGTCAGCGATTTCCTACCCAAATGCACGACGGGTCGGAGAAGACGGATTGTGCACGGAAAATGTGCGCGCATAAATATTGAAAGCCGTCAGGTGTTTATATAATAATCCGACGTCGCAGAGTTCGGCTGTGTGCAGTGCACGTACCATCCTTTACTACACCCTTGTTTCAAGCAACCCCCTTTTCAGCGACGAATCGATACATCACCACCGTCACCGCTACCCACTAACACAGTTTGCGCACTGCAGAAATGGGATCGTTTCTGCAGTTCGCCGATGACCGCAAGCTGATTAATTCGATACGCGTTGATTATTTCTAATTAGATCATTCCCTCATACGCACGCCAATCGCAATCTGTTAATTGGATCTTCTTCTAATCCAGTTTACTAATTGGGTTTGCAGTTTATCACCTGATGCAAATTGCATCCGCGATGACAACATTATATTTTGTTATTCGCATTCGCAGATGACCGATTTCAAATTTACTTTCAAGCTACTAATTAGCAGAAACTAAATGAAAACTTTTACAACATTTTTCACAATACTTTCATTATACTAATTCAAATTAATCAAAATCTACTAAATTTGTTAACAAAAAATTAACTCAATTTGTTATTTAAAAACGTTTTCACAAATTGGTTAAAAAAACATATGTTTTATCCAATTATCCAAAATCTACATTCTCATAAGTAAAAACAGTATTTCTTTGACAAAACATTTTCAACTATTCTGTATTAATATGAACAATAATCATTAATATCAACAGTTGATACTCATTGCTTAATAATGTGATTAGGTCAGAGCTTTGGAGCATTTTATTTAGTTCACGTTCTTAATGTAGAATCATTAATAGTTAGTTCAAATAAAGTTATAGAGGTTAAAGGAGGATTACATGTCTGGCAATTGAAAAAGTATTGAAGACTTACACGCGATTCGGAGCTTTCCAACAACGATCAATTTATTAAAGTCGTTGATCAAATTAAATATATATATATATATACTATTTCAATGTAATTTCAGAACAGAAAGATATTAATAGCAATTTCACTAAATAAATCAAAATAGACAGTTTACATGAAAAAAATCTGCTAATTATTTTAACCCTTTCCAGCCCAAATTTATTTTCAAAACAAAAAATTTAGTTTTATTCAAATCTTTATAAAAGCACTTCTTTAATCATAAAAAACATCTTACCAGTTTTTTTTTCATTATTTAATAGTTCAAAAATATAAAAATATATCTAGCTTCAATTTACTTTAGTTGCATCCAACAGTTTTAATCGTTGAAAGACAAAATTGTATTTAAAAATTAATGATTCCAATTGAAAACAAAATTCTAATATATGTTAATAGAAGACTGATAATAACCATAATCTCTCACCAAAACTCTCATTGCATTGCAAAGTTTATATAGAATCATTATAATATAATGTCTTATAAAAATCTTACCTTGTGATAATTGCTGGGCAGTAGCTCTCTGTAACAGACGAAAAAAACAGAAAATTAATTAAAAAATCGAGAACATCGTCGATAAATAAGCGATTTCTTAACACTGAACTTTAGAATAACTGAGTCTGCATTCGAAGCCGTGTACGTGTTTTGTATATTGTTAATTAATGCAGCATGTTAAGCGCGCTTTAAAGTCGCGCATAATAACAATAATTATTATTTCAACCTATATATCGCTTTCACACAAAACGAAACGCGATCATAAAATTATATTATATTTTATGTATGTGTTTCATGTAAGTTCTCTAGATATACGACCAGCATAAATTCGCTCCATTTGGAAACCGCATTTGTTTTTTCTCGCACTTCCAGACCGAAAATAATGATGCTAATAATAACAGTGATCATTCACTTCCATATGCATCATCGTATGCAACTCGCAGACAGGTCTGAGCACTTCGCTGAAACTAGTTCAAGTTACGCTGTTACCTAATATTTCAATGAGCATTCTCTGCATTTTTAATATTTTTTATATATTGATCAAAGTTAACAGATCAGAGAAATAAAGAACAAATAAATACTTCAATAAAAATGAAGTCTAATTAATGTACATAACAATTAACATACCTCTGATAACAATGCTTCAATTTAATGATGTCCACAATTTCAAGCACAATTTTACAAATGTAAACATATTGAAAGGAAGATGTTTTTGTCGCAAAAATTGAATTCGAAAATAAGAAATTATATATGAAGTTATCAAAATGGTTCAATCAATAAGTTTCGAAAATGTCGATGAATAGGATGTTGAATGTATTATTGAATGCAGAAAATGATGGTTTTTCGGTAGAAGATTAAAAAAGCTCTTCTTGACAAAGGAAATTAAGTTCCTACCGTTATATTAACATCCAAAGATTTAAAAAGTTGCTTAAATGACATTAAACACGTTTCTTTTTTTTTTTTAGATAAAATGATCCTGATTTAGGACGAATTGTTATTGATGAGCGATCAGTGTCAAATTTTAAACTTCATACTTGTAAATATGTTTTCACTTTGTAAGCATCCTATTCGTTAATCAAAGTATGACTGTACATGGATATTTATTAAAAAAAAAAAGTTTCGTTTTGCAGGAGTTTCTCAAGTATCGAAGCTAATCTTTAATCTTCAAAATGTTAATAACAACTTACAATTTTATGCCGTATTCACGAAGAAGATTTCAACTTCCGCACAATTAATTATCTACTTCTCTAAGCATGTCACAATTTATATATATATATATATATTTTAGTATGTACAAATTTTCTTCTATTATGTATTTGTTCCATCTCTTTAGTTCTATTTTTTTTAGAAAATAAAGTTATTTTTCACCTCATTTATTAGCAATTACATGCGTGTAATAGTAGAATGTTTAATTTTCTTTTAAACAGTAATGCCTCGTTTTGTGCGGTTTATTTTTGTATTTAGTTCATCGATTAGTTAATAGTCCAAGATATTGGCGAAACCGATTACCCGGACTATTCGAGGTATTTGCTATATATCCTCAGCATTTGCATTTCTAACTGAGTAAAGGAAAAATATATAAAGAAAATGTAGAAACTTTAATATAATACATATTGTGCGCCTCGTTTTTTTTTTATAAATGCTAAACGAAACACTGCATCAAATATTTGCATTTCATATATGGCGGAGCGTATTTGTCTTGCTTTGCAATTGCAAAATAAGGTTTGGCAAATATTTGCGAACCTGCAAACAGAAGCAACTATTGATATTTGTACACATACAGAGAGAAAGAGAGAGAAAAATGCGACAAGGACAAAGTGCAAATCGAAAATGGACAAAGAATTATTTTATTGTCAATTTAAATTTACATTTGCGGGAAATTCCATTTACCGAAACATACCGTATTTTTTGATTGAATAGGACGCACTTTGTAACTAAAAATCGTAATGCGTCGTATCTAATATTGTAAGACTTACTTTATATAGACATGATTGAAAGAACTCATCATTAAACTAACTAATTTTGTAATTATTCAATTATATATTTTAGATAACTGCAATTGCTGAGAGTGTTGTCTATAATACCAAAATTACTTTCCTTCTTCATAATTATGCAAATAAATGTAATTTGAAATATTTTAATTTGTTTTTATACAATTTGGATAAACACTAATAAAATTTACAAAAATTGTGATAATCTTAAAGAAAAATGTAATCAAAGACTAAGTATATAATCTGGAGATTATCACGATAAAACCATAATAATCCTAAACACAAAGCACCAAATTATTTAATCAATAAACTCGAGCGATTTTTGTTTGACTTTGGAATTTTCTTCTTGATTTCTTTTATTGACTTTATTCTTGTAGATGGTAACTTATTGTTTATAGCCTTTCAATATACAAACTTTCATAATCCTTTGATATCTCATAAGAAATTTATTGTTAAATGCAACATTTTAAGATTATTTAAATCAGTCTACATATCATTTCTATATTTCTTAATATTATAACTTATATTAGAATTAAACAAATCTAAATCTATTTGTAGTTTAATACCTTCACTGTTAATTCATTTCTAATGCATATCCTTGGTATGCGCTCACACGCCTTGCTTTAGTTATTGTAATCAATCATAGAGCACTGAAAAATAACAAGCAATGCTAAGGTGCGAATGATAAATCATGGAAGTATGGCAATGCAGTTATGGTAAATCTTAGATGAAAAGGCTCAGATACCAATTTAGGTTGCAATAAGAATGTTTAATGTATCAATAAACATAGCAAATACAGAATAGGTCACAATCTGGACGATACTTCAAGATCGATCGATGCAGATCTCGAGTACTGAGTACAATAAAAATAAACGTGTCTGGATTAGATTGATATAGAAGATAATAACATATTTATTTAACTAGACGTCGACTAAACAAAACAATCGCTGATAATTATTTTAATATTTGTAAATAAAATAACACCGTTATCTTGTAACTATAGTTTACATAATAATTATAATTTTATTCGTCTATTATTTAATCCAAATACAATATAATATGTTTCTGAAAAAAACGTGTATTTGCAATAACCTCCAATAACGAGATAAAAATGATTCGATCATAAATAGAAACCTTTGTGAAATGTTTTACAAAAATTAAAAATAGTCAATTATTAATTGCGAATTTTATATAATTAGACAAATTTTGGAACGGAACTAGTTCATACCTGTACTTTATCTTTAGTTAAAATGTTATCAACAATTTTTAAAATCAGCACGTGGTCAGTAGTATTACACCGATTATTACAAAAAAATTCCATATTTTAAGTAAAATATTTGTGATTATATTCATTTGTCGGTACAATAATATAGTGTGGCTTTGTCCGATTTGAAAATTTTAATTGAGTAAAATAAAAATACACGAATTTACTTTGTATACATAAAGAATCGTTTTTTTAGTATGAATTTAATTTCTCAATTAGTCCGGGACTTTGATGGAACTTTGATTAAAAAAAATGAATTTGATAATCGCACTTGATTTATACTTATTAAAATATGAATATATACAGATTGTTTATTTTACGAAATACCAATTTCAAAAAATATTACCATAAATTAATAAAAATACTGACTAAAATGTGTTTGGTATAACTTTAATAATCTTGACATGTCTCGGGATTAAGAAATCTCTGGACACTGGATTATCTCGTAGTTATGTCGTTGTGTAGTGCAATATTCATCAGTTTTTATTGAGAAGTGAAATATACAATAGTTGATCTCATGGATTATTAACTAATTGCTACATTCTCTTTTTAAGTTAATAATTACGATGCAAGTGTTCTTCCCTGGACTCTCCAAGAAAGTCCATGTTTAAACTTCAATCCTCCAACTAAGCTATCTTCTTCATTGAGGGTCCAAGACTAAATAATATAATACAAACATGTATCCATTTCCAAAAGGGGATGCTGCGAGGTAAGGAAATCAGTTTTGACTTTTCCGTTCTTCGGAATATTTCACAAGTTATTCTAAATAATCACGAACAAGTATCCGTTTGCATATTTGATGGATACGTAAAATATGCTTTGGAATAATTAAGAGGAAAGTGGTAGACCTAACAAATATACATATTAATTATACAATAGATGATATAATAAAATGGTCGGCCACGACAATCTTGTGTTTTTGTATAGTATGGTTCTTATTATGTGAATGATGGTTGCTGTGCAGATTAAAATTAACTGCATTATTTCATTGGACGCAAAGGTCGTCTGCCGTTGATTGTAAAATTATTGTGGCCTCAGAGAGACGCACCCACGCATCCCGTCAAATGATGGTGAGCTTCTGCATATGCGTGTGTCTCCCAAAGGACGCGAAATGATAACTATCTAGGCTGATGGAAATCTCCGTAATTTAGAAAAATTGCATAATGCACCTACGTTTTGCAGGACGAGCCGAACGCCGGATGCTTCCAGGCTCCTCGCATCCAAGGATCGGCTACGTGGCTTCGAGAAAATCTCGTCCTCCTTTCTAATACCGGCACTACTCTTCATCCACCTGAAATACTGCGACATCCTGGACGACATCCACCCCACTCGTATATATATATATATATTCCTTCTTTGTATTCAAACACTGCACTCTTTTAATTACTCCGAGACTCCACGCAACAAAATAATTCGCATTCAGCTTGACATTATTGCTACGACCGACGAATCCGTGTGGTGTCACATGCTTTCGTTCACACCAAAAGCTATCTCCAGCAAACTGATTTCGACAAATAGAAACCCGGGCTTTATATGGAAATTATCTATGGCATTTTAATTACATTACATGCATATCGCATCACCTGCGACGATAACGGAAAATTGTTCTCTCGGTCAAAAAAAACAAAACAAACACACATAAATAAACGCGCTTGCTCGTATAGAAGCTACGTAACATTTACAAAAAAAAAACAACAACTCAACAATCAGGTGAAACAATTCTCGGTTGTCGACGCACTGAAAATGCAAGTGCGGCGCGCCATTGTGTTTAAG